CCCCCCCCTCGACAGCAGTCTGCAAAGATTTCAAAATTACCTTTTAGTGTCAAGTAACACTAGAAAATTATAGTCTTAGGTATCTCTATTTCTCTCCGCCCCTCCCCCCACAGTTGTGTGCTAAGACTTCAAAATGAACTATTAGTCTCCAGTACTGGTAGGATTGTAAAAAGATATCAAGTCCTATGTATATTATGTACTTCTCTCAGACTCCTTCCACACACCCCCCCCCAAACCACAATGGTGTGCAAAGAAATGTTAATGTCTAGTAAGACTGTAAAAAATACCTGGTTCTATGTTTATGTTAGGCATTTCTCTCTGCCTTGCTCCTCTACTTCCTTCCTCTCACAAAGGAGGGCAAAGACTTCATAATAACCTGTTTGTGTTTTGTTGAACTTAAAAAAATATGTAATTCTGTGTGTTTGTGTCAGCCCCCAGAATGGTGCGCTATGTGCTAAAGGTACTGGTGACTGTGTACAGACGTTTGGGCCAGTATCACCTGATCTCCAGCTCACACCGCACGACAGAGATGTCAGGCGACCGGAAGGAAGAAGAAGCGTCATCGTGGGGTGAGATGGACGACACTCCGAAACAACGAGCGGCAGAGGATGGCGGGTCGTGGTCAGAGCGAGCAGCTGGGGTGACATCGACTTTGAGGACTCCCGAGGCGAGTCCAGTGGTGGGACGCAGGGGGAAGGAGCTGGATGTGTCATGGTCAGAACGTCGCGTGGGGACGCCCCTAGCTGAGGAGTTGGTGCAGGAAGTGTGGAAGAGGCCGAGAGAGTTGAAGAGGGTGTCACGTAGGAAGGAAGGAAGAGGCCGGGATGATGCATCTGGGGGGGAAGTTTGTTGTGCTGACAGCGAAATGATAGACGGATCGGAGGAGGCTGAGGGAGATGTCTCTTTGAAGCGTTTACAGCCGGATGAAACGACTTCAGACAATGAACCTGGAGAACAGAAGAATTCTGTGTGGAGTGGTGCAGACGAGAGTGCGCGTCGCATAAACTATCAGGAAAGATTTGATGGAGGAGACCAGCGAAAGTCTGAGGGATTTTCTCCCCATCCAGAGAACGATGAACAGCTTCTGACAAAGAACAAAAACGACGATGACCGCGTCGAAAAGTTTGAGGATAAAAACGATAGCTTTGAAACTACCGCAAGTGTCCAGAAGTTAGAAATATCGAATGATTCTTCTGTTGTCGGTGAAACTGAAACTACTGAAACCTTGCCGTCAGTTGTCAGAGTCACCAACAGCAGTCACCGGGACGTGAGTAGTTCCAAGTTTGAGAGCGACGATGAGGACAACAATGATGGTGAAGAAGATGACGATAACGATGGTGAACGTAAGGGCGACAACTTTGAAGAGGCAGCAGCGGCCAAGGAAAACGTAACAACGGCCAGAGAGGACAAATACCAGAATCTTCTCAGCGCCATACGGGAACTGTTTACTGATGTCATTGCCTCTCTAGCTCAGGTGAGAATGTCACCTACAAATCAGTCTATTTGTGTGTTTTTTGTCTGTATGTGTCTGTCGTTTAACTCTGGCACAGGTAAGAAGGTCTGTGAAGAAACATGCTCGTCTGTCTTTGTCTACCTGTAGATCTATGTCTGACCGTCCCTGCTTACTCTTTTGTTTATATATGTGTCACAACGCTGTGGAATCAGGCGCTCGTCAATTTTGGGCATATGGAATAACTGGTATCATGTGAATACTTATTCATTTGCTTTGCTTTTGATGAAAAAAAAATACCCATCTATCTTAAATAAAAGTTGAGATATTTGCAGTTGAAGGAGGTGGGGGGCTCTCGTGGCCTAGAGGTTAAGGTGTTGGCCTCTCATTCAAAGGTCCCGGGTTCGAATCCGGGTTGCGACCGAAAAATTTT